GGAGGCTACCACAAAATGGCTGCCGCAGGAGGCAGAACCAATCACACAGAGGAAGCCCAAGTGCAAGGGAGAAGAGTGGTAATTTTTTAAAAACACACTGGGCGGGGAAGAAAGAAGAAAACCAACACTAACCTTGCAGCCGCTGCTGCTCAGGGCTCTTCTTGTAGCATTGTTATCCTAATCTGCACAGCCAATCGGAAGCCCTGTTGGACACAGGCCCCACGTGGCCCTACCCACTTGCTTAAAAAACACATGGTGGGTGCCAGGAAAGGTGTCACCGGGTGTCACTGTGCCCGTGGGTGCCACGGTGGGGTCATCCCTGCTGTACACGATGGTCATTCGACCCCTCACTACTGAGGTAAACTCAGAACTTGAAGACAAGCATCCCCAGTCACTTTGGAAGACACAATTGGGAGCGTTTGGAGAGGCATACCTGCTCTGTCACATGACCTCTGTTCACACCTCTTGGTCTCTAAGATGCTTCTAGACTTCGAATCGAGGAATTAAACCAGTCAGGGCGCCTCTGTCAGCATCCCACAGCCAATCCGCCCTCTAAACTGTGGAGTCCAGTGTTTCCTCGAAGCTGAGTGTGAGCTCGCTCACAGTTTTTTAGCCTCCAGCTCACACGTTTTTGTCTCCGCTCAGGAAGGATGGCTCCAGAGCAAACTAATTTAAGCAGGAGCCAAATTGCTCGCTCGCAACTTGAACGCCACTAACTTACAAAGTGGGATTTTTGCTCACAAGACTCCACAGCTTAGAGGGAGCATGGGTGGAGTCTTGTGAGCAAAAATTCTACACTGTGAGCGACTGGCATTAAAATTGTGAGCGAGCGATTTGGCTACTTGCATAAATTAGTTGGCTCCAGAGCCGTCCTGCCTGAGCGAAGACAAAAACGGATTGGCCCAAATAAAAAGGGATTGCCAGGATTTTCTCTCGTTCTGGGTTTTGTGCAGGTCAACCCAGCAATGAGGGGTAGCCGTGTTAGGCTGGCCAGGCAACATTTTTTTTAAAAAAAAGTGTAGTGGTATTTTAAGAACACATGTACATCAGAACAGCCCTGCTGGATCAGACCAATAGTCCATCTGGTGCAGCCTCCTGTCTCACACGGTGGCCAACCAGTTCCTCCGGAGGGCCAACAACAGGGCATAGAGGCTGAGGCCTTCATAAGAACATAAGAAGAGCCCTGCTGGATCAGACCAATGGTCCATCTAGTCCAGCATCCCGTCTCACACGGTGGCCAACCAGTTCCTCCGGAGGGCCAACAACAGGGCATAGAGGCTGAGGCCTTCATAAGAACATAAGAAGAGCCCTGCTGGATCAGACCAATGGTCCATCTAGTCCAGCATCCCGTCTCACACGGTGGCCAACCAGTTCCTCCGGAGGGCCAACAACAGGGCATAGAGGCTGAGGCCTTCATAAGAACATAAGAAGAGCCCTGCTGGATCAGACCAATGGTCCATCTAGTCCAGCATCCCGTCTCACACGGTGGCCAACCAGTTCCTCCGGAGGGCCAACAACAGGGCATAGAGGCTGAGGCCTTCATAAGAACATAAGAAGAGCCCTGCTGGATCAGACCAATGGTCCATCTAGTCCAGCATCCCGTCTCACACGGTGGCCAACCAGTTCCTCCGGAGGGCCAACAACAGGGCATAGAGGCTGAGGCCTTCATAAGAACATAAGAAGAGCCCTGCTGGATCAGACCAATGGTCCATCTAGTCCAGCATCCCGTCTCACACGGTGGCCAACCAGTTCCTCCGGAGGGCCAACAACAGGGCATAGAGGCTGAGGCCTTCATAAGAACATAAGAAGAGCCCTGCTGGATCAGACCAATGGTCCATCTAGTCCAGCATCCCGTCTCACACGGTGGCCAACCAGTTCCTCCGGAGGGCCAACAACAGGGCATAGAGGCTGAGGCCTTCATAAGAACATAAGAAGAGCCCTGCTGGATCAGACCAATGGTCCATCTAGTCCAGCATCCCGTCTCACACGGTGGCCAACCAGTTCCTCCGGAGGGCCAACAACAGGGCATAGAGGCTGAGGCCTTCATAAGAACATAAGAAGAGCCCTGCTGGATCAGACCAATGGTCCATCTAGTCCAGCATCCCGTCTCACACGGTGGCCAACCAGTTCCTCCGGAGGGCCAACAACAGGGCATAGAGGCTGAGGCCTTCATAAGAACATAAGAAGAGCCCTGCTGGATCAGACCAATGGTCCATCTAGTCCAGCATCCCGTCTCACACGGTGGCCAACCAGTTCCTCCGGAGGGCCAACAACAGGGCATAGAGGCTGAGGCCTTCATAAGAACATAAGAAGAGCCCTGCTGGATCAGACCAATGGTCCATCTAGTCCAGCATCCCGTCTCACACGGTGGCCAACCAGTTCCTCCGGAGGGCCAACAACAGGGCATAGAGGCTGAGGCCTTCATAAGAACATAAGAAGAGCCCTGCCTTCCCCTAATAACAGCATCAGAAGAGCCCTGCTAGATCAGACCAGCGGTCCATCCAGTCCAGCATCCTGTCTCACACAGTGACCAACTGGTTCCTCTGGAGGGCCAACAACAAAGCAAAGAGACTGAGGCCTTCCCCTGATGTTGCCTCCTGGCTCTGGGATCCAGAGGCTTAGTGCCTCCGAATGTGGAGGTTCCCCTCAGTCACCATGAATGTAGCCATTGACTGACTTATCCTCCATGAATCTTATCTTACCCCCTTTTAAAGCTGCTTATTCCTGTGGCCATCACTACATCCTCTGGCAGCCCATTCGAGCTTTTAATCACTCTCAGTGTAAAGTAGTATTTCCTTTTGTCCGTCCTGAACCTCCTGCCCATCAGCTTCACTGAATACTCTCGAGTTCTAGTGTTTGGGGAGAGGGAGAAAAAGTTATTTGTCCACTCTCTCCGCCACATACATAATTTTATCGACCCCTATCATGTCGTCATCCCCTTACTTGTCTCTTTTCTCAACTGAAAAGTCCCGGACTCTTCTCCCTTTCCTCCTAGGGAAGGGGGCTCCAACCCCCTTCATCATCTCGGTTGCCCTCCTCTGTACTTTTTCCTGCTCTGCAATGTCCAATGTCGGAGCTGCGGTGGCTCAAGTGGTTAAGATGCTGAACTGCAGGCTGTGGAAGGTCAGTAGTTCAGCAGTTTGAGACCCGGGTTGCCGCATGACGGAGTGAGCTCCCGTCTCTAGTTCCCGCTCCTGCCCACCTAGCAGTTTGAAAGCAAGAAATTGCAAGTAGATAAATAGGCACCACTTCGGTGGGAAGGGAACAGCGTTCCGTGAGCCTTGGTGTTTAGTCATGCCGGCCACATGACCACGGAAACGTCTTCGGACAGCGCTGGCTCTTCGGCTTTGAATCAGAGATGAGCACCGCAACCCTAGAGTTGGACTCGACTGGCTTTCGAGCAAGGGAACCTTTACCTTTTAATGTCCTTTTGGAGATACGTTGACCAGAACTATCCACAGGATTCCAAATGAGGCCGCACCACAGAGCTATACAGGGTCATTAACGACTTAACCACGTTTATTTCAAAATGAGCTTTCAGGAGCACCTACCTGTGGAGCGGAGCTCCGTCTCACGAAAGCTCACCTTGGAAGAAACTTGGTTCGTCTTTCAGGCGCCACTGGATTTTCCGTTTCGTTTAGCAAGCAGATCTTACAAGTATCTTTGTTCAGCTGTGGGCCTCAGCCAACACCCACGCATATTTCTTGAACCCTGCTAGCAGGAATCCTGTTTTTCGTGGGATAACCATGTTAACGCTGTTCTCTATACCCAGCATTCCCTTCACTAATGCCGACAAGATCTGAACCTTACCATGGTTTCAGCATTGGAGTCCTCGGAACTGCTGATCACTATACTGGCGACCTCTGTAAGCACAGGAAGAAGAAAAAGAGAAGATTGGATTTATACCCCGCCCTTCACTCCCCAAAGGTGTCTCAGAGTGGCTTACAAACTCCTTTCCCTGCCCCTCCCCACAACAGACACCCTGCGAGGTAGGTGGGGCTGAGAGAGCTCTGACAGAAACTGCTCTTTTTCAAGAACAGAGAGAGCTCTTGACAGAAACTGTTCTTTTTCAAGAACAGCTCTTATCAGAACTACGGCTTGCCCAAGGTCATCTAGCGAGGTGCGAGTGGAGGAGTGGGGAATCAAACTTGGTTCTCCCAGATTAGAGTCCGCGCACTTAACCACGACACCAAACTGACTCTCTCTGAAGGAAGGAAGGATCTTTGGGGCTGAGAGAGCTCTTGACAGAAACTACTCTTTTTCCAAGAACAGCTCCTGTCAGAACTACGGCTTGCCCAAGGTCATCTAGCCAGGTGCAAGTGGAGGCGTGGGGAATCAAACCCGGTTCTCCCAGATTAGAGTCCGCGCACTTAACCACGACACCAAACTGGTAAAACGTTGCATTCTACTGGATAGTAAGTGTTTCATTCGACTGGAGATCCATCTGCTTATTCGGGGTTGTGGCAGAGACAAGGAGATTCCTGTGGGTTTGTGAGACCACGGAGGCGGGTGCGTGGCTCACCCATTTGGGGCGTGGGCCTTTATACATCTAAGAAATCGCCTGTTCATTATACATCCCCTGGCAAACGTGGGCTCTGTGCCTTCATCCATTTTCTTGGACAGTGCTGGTAGGGTGATGATACGTTCAGGCAGAGCAAACCCAAATGTGTTAATGTGCCTCCAGGGGCTTTGGCGGCAGAAAGTGCCATCAACTTGCTTGTAGCCACCCAGAAGGGTTCTTTTTCATGAAAGAGCTGTTCAGAGGTGGGTTTGCCATTCCCTGCCTCTGCGTAGCAACCCTGGACTTCCTCGGTGGTCTCCCATCCTAGTACTAACCAGGGCCGACCCTGCTCAGCTTCCAAGAGGTTATGAGGTTGAGCTAGCCTGGGCCATCCATGTCAGGCAGACAGAGGTGTTTTGACACTGCCTGCCTCTGCGTAGCAACCCCGCGCTTCCTTGGTGGTCTCCCACCCAAAATACTGACCAGGGCTAACCCTGCTTAGCTTCTGACAACTCACAAGATCAGGCTAGCCTGGGCCGTCCAGATCAGGGCAGAGAAGCAGAGGAGTTTTGCCACTGCCTGCCTCTGCGTAACAACCCCAAGCTTCCTTGGTGGTCTCCCACCCAAATACTGACCGGGACTAACCCTGCTTAGCTTCTGACAACTCACAAGATCAGGCTAGCCTGGGCCGTCCAGATCAGGGCAGAGAAGCAGAGGAGTTTTGCCACTGTCTGCCTCTGCGTAACAACCCCGGGCTTCCTCGGTGGTCTCCCATCCAAATACTGATCAGGGCTGACCCTGCTTAGCTTCAGAGATCTGATGAGACCGGGCTAGCCTGGGGCACCCACGTCAAGGCAAGAGGCAAACAGGGGTGGTTTGCCATTGCCTGCCTCTGCGTAGCAACCCCGAGTCAAGGCCAAGCGACTTTAGCAAGCCCCAAACCTCCTGCTCTTTTGAGACTGAGGACAGCCAAGTCGAACGCTGCTCCCGTTTCCCTTACCCGATTCACAGATCTCCGGGGGAGAATGGTCCGCGTCGCCCGAGCAGATGACGACCCTCCGGTCTCTCTCCGGGGTCATTTCGAAGGCGCACTGGGAGCACGTCGCCACCTCCTGGATGTGCCTGGTGGAGGTTTCTCCTTCCTGGCTCTTGGGAGACTCGTGCTTCAGCGTCTTGGGGGAGGCCTGGATGGATTTCTCGCACAGGTTCAGAGGGCGTTTCCTCGGGGTGGTCATGGAAGGGGTCTAGGAGGGAAGAAGCAAACCGTGGCGCTCATGGAGGGTGACCTGGGCCCTCCGCTCGAGGCAGTGAGCCATGATTTTCTTCCAGACTGAGCTGAAGGCCGCAGTCCGAAATAAGACTGTCTTAAAACGAACTCCTAAAGATCGACAGCGAAGGGGCCAGCCGCAACTCCCTGGGGAGGCTGCTCCATAATGGCAGGGCTCCCACCCAACTAGCCTCTTTGATTCATGGGAGAGTTAGGAGGGCCTCTCCCTGTGCTCATGGGAGGAGACGGTCCATACTTTGTGTACCCGAGGTTATTTATTTGGTTCAATTTCAATCCCTGCCCTTCCCGCAAACGGGCTCAGGGTGGGTTACAACACTGCTTGCAGTACAACAGGGGTCATTTCCTGCAGGAGCGCACAGGAGCGGAGCTCCGGCAGTAAAGAGCCCAGGGGGCGGGCACATGCAACAAGCCCCACCCCCTGCTCCCAGCAGCCCTCAGTCAGAGCAAGAAGCAGACAGGTAAGTTGCAGAGCTCCCCCCCCCCGGCCCCCTGGTCCAAAACAGTCCGGTGGCACCTTTAAGACCAAGTTTTATTTAGGTACAAGCTCTCCCTCCTCTGCGAGGACAGATCTGCACGTTCCCCCCCCCCAATAGCTAGCAATCCAAAACAGTCCAGTAGAGCCTGAGCGGTGGGTGTTGCCTTCTGACACACTTCCGGTGATGTCAGGGTGTGTGTCATATGCAAATGAGTTATGCTAATGAGTTATGCTAATGAGCTCCTGCACCTCTTTTTCTACGAAACGACCCCTGCAGAATAAAATCAGACATTAAAAACTGTAAAACCATAACCCCTAAAACAACGTTCAAATGACTTCAAACTGTTTCCATGGTGTCCCGATATTATTAGGTTAAGGTTACAAGCGGAAAGAAGAGGAGGAGGAGATTGGATTTATACCCCACCCTTCACGACCTGAAGGAGTCTCAGAGCGGCTTACACTCTCGTTTCCCTTCCCCTCCCCACAACAGACACCCTGTGAGTAGCTGGGGCTGAGAGAGCTTTCTGGAGAACTGCCCTCGAGAGAATAGCTCTGAGAGAACTTGTGACGGACCCAAGGTCACACCAGCAGCTGCATGTCGAGGAGCGGGGAATCAACCCCGGTTCTCCCAGATTAGACTCCACGCTCCGCACCACTACACCAAACGGGCTCTCCAGGGCTAAATCTCATAGAGGAATTCCAGATGTTAGATACCCTAACTTCGGCTAAACCACGGCGGGTTGTTGTTCGGAGTCCTCGAAAATTGAAGACCTTGTAATAGATGATAACAGATGGTAACCGGACGGTAACAGGAAGGGCCAGATGATATTTGATGGCCGCTGCCCCTGCCAAAAGCCTTACAGGCCTTGTGGAACTGTCCACCATGAGTGGCTATTAGTCACAAGGTATAGGTAGGAACTCTCGGTCTGGGGCAAGGGATGCTCCATATTCTTGGTGCTTGGGGGAGGGGCAACAGTGGGGAGGGCTTCTACTGTCCTGGCCCCGCTGGCAGACCGCCTGATGGCACCTGGGTTTTGGCCACTGTGTGACCCAGAGCGAAGGACTGGACGGGCCACAGGCCTGATCCAACACGGCTTCTCTCACGTCCCTGTGAACGGCTCAGGAGACACAGAAACAATACCACCCACGAGGAACTTACGAATCCATAAGGACTCTTTTCAATGCTGAGGGTATACGTGGGCATCTGCGACCCCTGGGCCTTGGGGTGGTTAATCTCATTACGTGGAGCTTCCTGTATGCAAAAAAGAAGCAGAAGCGGAAATTAAAACAGCTTCGAGTCCCAAGAGAGACCGACAGACGGTTGAACTCGGCTCCTTTTGACGACGAACCAGAAGCCGAAGGTAATCAAGGAAGTGAGCGCTGATCCTAATCTAAGTGGTGGTGGTGGAGGGGGAGGATAGGTGCCCAAATTTCCATGGTTACCCCCACACACACCCTGTGCTATGGCCCTGGCCCATATCTTCCCTTCCTTCAACATGGATGTTCCTATTTATTCATTAATACCCTGCCTTTCTTCCAGGTGGGAACCCAAAGTGACTTTCACTTTTCTCCTCTTCCCCTTTAGCCTCACAACAACCTTGTGAGGCCGGCTAGGCCGACTGTGTGTGATTGGCTCAATTGCACCCGGCAAGCTTCCATGGCACAGAAGGGATTCGAACCCGAGTCTCCCAGATTCTAGTCCGACCCTCTGAAACTACTCTATGGTCTCTATGGTGTTCTCTATGGTGGGAAAGAAAGTTACTTTCCCCCCCCCCATGGTGCTGTTAGTGGCTCTCGGGGGGAGGGGGTTTGAGGGAGAGGCTCCAAATTTTCAGGGTAGCTTCGGGAGCCTCTCCCCACATAAACCCCCATGTCCCAAAGCAATTGGACCAGTGCGCTCAATTCTACGGGCACCCAACCAGGTTACCCCCATTCCCTCCATTGTTTCCAATGGGGAAGCCCATCCAGCAGCACTTAAGGCAGGCAAGCAGGCAGCACCCAGCAGTCAGACTCTCCCAGAGCATCTCCAGGAAAGTGAACTGTCTTGGGAGGTGCCTGTTTGCCATGAGAACAAGTGGCACACTCCAGAACAAGTGGCACTGTGGCACTGCAAGCATGCCACAGTGCCACACAGAAACCCCAAAAGACCCACAGGAACAACATTTATACAGGCCCTGTCCTCAGTCCAAACTACCCTGCGAGTTTGGAGCCTCTCCCTCAAACCCCCTCCCCTCCATCCCCCAGAATATACCCCATGTTTTCGCCATTGACTTCAATGGCCCGTAGGATATAATGGGGCCGAATTGCCGCCGAATTTCGGTGGCAATTCAGCGGCAAGCCGATTTAGATCAGGTAATCTGAATCGGCCCGCAGCAGCCCAAAAGGGGCCTGAATGAGCCATCCCTACCCCTGGCTTTGGACTTGGCTCTGTGTTCCTGGCTCCTGACCCCGGCTTGGCTTTGGACTACGTTTCTGGTTGGTGATCTGGACTTTGCTATGTGTTTCTGGCTCCTGACCCTGGCTTGGCTTTTTGGACTTCGCACTGTCTTCTTGGCTCCTGGCCTTGGCTTGTTCTGGACTCCCTTTGATTGGTACCCCAAGCCCATGACACCTTCCACATCCCCTCCCACAACCTTACCGTGTTGAGTGCAACAGAAGTAGAAGGCACATGGCTAGCAACAGCAGGATCTACGGGAAGAAAAGAATGTGTAAAATTGATTTATATATTTGACAGGAAACAGCTCTCCAGGATCTCATAAGAACATGAGACAGACTGTTAGTCTGATCCAGCAGGGCTATTCTGATGTTTTTATCAGGGGAAACCTTGGCCTCTATGTTGTGTTGTTGGCCCTCCAGAGGAACTGGTTGGCCCCTGTGTGAGACAGGAGGCTGGACTAGATGGACCACTGGTCTGATCCAGCCGGGCTCTTCTGGTGTTCTTATGAAAGCCTCAGCCTCTCTGCCCTGTCGTTGGCCCTCCAGAGGAACTGGTTGGCCCCTGTGTGAGACAGGAGGCTGGACTAGATGGACCACTGGTCTGATCCAGCCGGGCTCTTCTGGTGTTCTTATGAAAGCCTCAGCCTCTCTGCCCTGTCGTTGGCCCTCCAGAGGAACTGGTTGGCCACTGTATGTCAGGATGCTGGACTAGATGCACCACTGGTCAGAGCCAGCAGGGGCTCTTCTTATGTTCTAAAGAAGGCCTCAACCTCTATGCCCTGTTGTTGGCCCTCTGGAGGAACTGGTTGGCCACTGTGTGAGACAGGATGCTGGACTAGATGGACCACTGGTCTGATCCAGTGGGGCTCTTCTGATGTTCCTAAGAAGTCCCCAGAGCAGGCCAGAAGGCCTGACACCAGGCAATGCCTCACCTTTCTGTCCCATCACTTTCTTACAGAGAGCTTGGAGCTGGTCTTTGACCTCCGCAAAGTTCCTCGTCTGGACCCTCAGCCCTGCCATCGGCACTCGCTCCTTCTTGAGCTCGTCCAACGACTCTCTGATGAACGGGTACATGTCCATCACCACCTGGTCGGAGGCAAAGCTGACCATCTTCTCCACCAGCTGCGTTCCGGTCTTCATCCGGTGGAGCGCACTCTCCATGGCCTGCAGTTTCGCCTGGGTGTCCTGACGTTCTTTGTGGAGCTGCTTGTCCACCTCGTCCAAGAGCTGGTCCCCCTTCTCGCGGATCTGACGGACCATCTCCTCCACCTTCTCCTCGATCAGCGCCCGGGTTTCATTCCGCACCGACTCCATCTCCTGCACCCTCTGCTGGAGGTCGCCGTGGGTCTGCCCGTAACACTGCTCCTTCTCCCATAGTTCCTGGCTCATCCCGTTTAGCTCTTCTTTCCTCTGCTCGATTTCCTTGCTGATGTCGCAGTAGGAGTGTTTGTTGCAGGGCGCCAGCAGGGCGCAGGAGCAACACAGCGGCTTCCGGCACTGGCAACAATAGAGACTGTCGAGACAAAAGACAGGGCCAAATGCAAACGCGTTGGCGTCCCAGTTTTGCACTCCTAGTCCTATGGCGGGGATCCACAAAGTGGTGCCTGTGGGCGTGTCCACTGACACCTTTTCTGGAACACGCCAAATGTTTTTGGGGAGTGGGCGGGGCCAGGTTAGGGCTTTTGCCCAGCAAGGCATCAGGCTGACTATTGGGGATCCCTATCGGCTGTGCACATTTTTCAAAATTATTTATTTTACTTCTATACCGCCCTCCCCCCAATGGGGCTCAGGGCAGTTTACAACCGTTTATAAACACAATTCAATAAATGCAAATCTCTCTCTCTCTCTCTCTCTATTTATTTATTCTTTGGATTTGTATCCCGCCCTCCCCAAAGGCTCAGGGCGGCTAACAAGGGCATAAAATGCCAGATTATAACAATAAAACAATATAAAATACAATAATACAGAGTACTACAGTTAATTAAAATTAGTAAGAATAAAATCAGTGCTCCATACTCACTCTGAATCATACAACCAAGGTGGCATTCTAAAGATCTTATAACTGAACAACAACAGCAATATATGTCCCCACAACCCTGTCATCCGCTAGGGACGACCTGCACCCCCGATGATACACACACACACACACATTAGGAATGCCCGTTGTGGAAATAAATACGAGCTCCAGAAGGAGGCTCCAGGAGAGTACAAGGCCTTGGGCACTCAGCATCAATATGCTGTGGCGACCTCAGCAGGGTATAATGACACTGAGTCCATCATTTTCTCCAGAGGAACAGATCTCTGCTACCTGAAGAGCAGTTGTAATTTTGAGTGATCTCCAGCTATCACCTGGAGATTGGCAACAATTGTTACCCAGGAGGAGATGGCTGGTTTGGAGGGTGGAGTCTATGGCATTGTGCCTGTCTGAGGTCCCAGCCCCCTCAAACCTCACTCTCTCCAGGTTCCATCCCTCAAATCTCCAGGAATTTCCCACCTGGATTTGGCAACCCTATCTCCATCCCAGCCAATCATCAACCTAGCTTTATTTCCCTCTCACTCTTCAGCTTCCCCCACACACCTGCAGTCTCTACCATGCTCTGAAACCCTGACTGCCACGTCACATTGGCTGTCATGGGGGGCAGCTCAGCAGGATATAAGGGCACAGAGTACCCCATTTTCTCCAGGGGAACTGATCTCTGCCATCTGGAGAGCAGTTGTAATTCTGAGTGATCTCCAGCCCTCACCTGGAGATTGGCAACAATGGTTTCACAGGAGGAAAAGTAGTCTTTCTCTGCAATGGGGACCAAAGCAGCTTACATCATTCTCCTCTCCCCCTTTTGACTTGCACAACAACCCTGTGAGGTAGGTTAGGCTGAAGGTCTGTGACTGGTCCAAAATCACCCACTCAGAGTCTACAGCAAGAACTTGGGTCTAGCAGACCCTGCTCTGAAGCACTATGCCTAGGGTAGCCAACCTCCAGGTGGAGCCTGAAGATCACCAAGTATCACAACTGAACTCCAGACAACAGATCTCTCCCACCTGGAGAAAATAACTGCTTTGGAAGGTTGGCTCTATGGCATTGTTCAGCTGAGGCCTCTCCCCTCCCCAAACCCTGGCTTCCATAGACTCTACCATAAAATCTCCAGGAATCTCCCTACCTGGAGCTGACAACCCTAGTCAGGACTGTCCCCAATGAGTTTTCTCCCAAAGGCCAAAACAGGTGTGGAAAGGGCCTTTTACTGACAGAACCAAGCTTGGTTGCCTAGCAACAGGCAATGAGGGGAAAGTAGGGTTGACAGCTCTGAGTAGGGAAATACTTGGAGATTTGGGGGGTGGATCCTGTGGAAGGCAGCGTTGGGGGGGGCGGAAAGATTCAGAAAAAAAAATTTAGCAGGAATTTCCCAACCTGGAGCAGGCAATCCTAGTCAGGGCTGGTCCCAATGAATTCCTCACAAAGGCCTGTCTTTTTACTGACAGAACCAAGCTTGGTTGCCTACCAACAGCCACTGAGGAAAAAGTTAGTCCCACAGAGGAGCCAAGCGGGAGAAGTGTCTTCATCAAGAGAGACAGCCGTTTGCCAGTTATTCTGACAGGGAATAGTGACTGAAGTGGGAGTGGGCGGGGAAGAGGAGCCGACCCAGCACCTGGCCGATGGCACGCGAATATTCTTGAAGCTTCTGAGTGACACGTCATGGAACCAACTGATTTAGGAGCATGTGGAATGTTCAGAAAGTGTCACCCCACTACTCAATTATATATAAGGAAATATATAGATATATATCTACAGCCACTGCCATCGCAACACAAGGATCTGCTCTCTGTTACTGAAGTGAAGCCGTGGCAGCCATTTTGTGGCACCTGTTTTCTCGCTGCGCCCACCATGCCGTGTCAGAATTCCAAATCTGCCCCTACCCACAAGCTTAATTTGGGCAGGAATGTAAGATACACACTAGATGTTAACACTGCATACAAAATTTCTATGAGGTTATTCATGTTTTATGATAAAATAGATAAGATCAATGGGATAAAAACGATAGCAGATTATGAGAAAATGGTAGAATAAATCGAGTAGCTTGTTAGAGCAGTTCTTTCAGCTACCCTGTATCTTCTTTTTATATACACGGTGTATTTTAATCAAGGATTGTCCTTAATATCAGCAAAGTTGCCGTCTGTATTGTGCTTTTGTAATCATACTTTTTATTCCTTTTCCCATACTGCTTTTCTTTATCCTGTATTCCCTTTAAAGGTTAACATAATTTTTTTAAAGATGCACACTAGGAAAATTGATGGGAGGGGGAAAATATATATCTATATATCTAATAGCCAAGGTGCCCCTCGCATGTGGATATCTAAATCCGCACATCGGGGGCAGGGAGATTTTCCTGCATATTTGGGGCAATCCCCAGATGTGCAGAAAAATCTAAAAAGTTGAAAAACGTATACGGGGGATATTTAAATCATCCCCAAAGTACAAGAGCGTTCCCTGCGCATGTGCAGAGAACGCCCCGGCAACTGTCCCACTGCCGCCGCTGAGGCAGAAGGGGGTGGGAGAAGGCTTGGCGGGCCGGCAGCTGTGAGCTGCTCAGGCCTCGCTGCTGCCACTGCCGGGGCAGGAGGGGAAAAAGAGAAGACCTGGCAGACCAAACTCAGGCCTCGCCGGGGAGGGAGAAGGCCTGGCGGCTGGGAGCTGCGTGGGCCTCGCTGCTGCTGCTGCTGGGGGGGGGAGAGAAGGCTTGGCGGGTGCCGGGGGAGGAGGGAGAAGGCTTGGTGGGTCCAGCAGCTGGGAGATGTGCGGGCCTCGCCGTTGGTGCCAGGGGGGCAAGGGAGAAGACTCACCTACGGTTGCTTCCTCCTCCACCACGTGGAGCTCCCCCCCGCGTGAGTATCGCGGGTCCCTCTTCTTGTATATATATATATACACACACACACACACATGCATGCAGCTGCTGCCACCACAGCACAAGGATCTGCCCTCTGTTACTGAAGTGAAGCTGTGGCAGCCATTTTGTGGCTGCCTCCCATTCCTGCAGCAGCCATTTTGTGGCACCCATTTTGTTGCTGTGCCCACCATGCTGTGTCAGAATTCCAAATATAAGTAATATAGAGAAGACCTCCCAGTTGATACAAGATCAGAGTTATAGAAACTACCAGGGAAACGTTTTGTATATAATGCAGTCGATACTCTATTGAAATGTTATACAAAGTGTAAATTAATTTTTAAAGTGCTTAATTCATAAATTTATAAAGCGCCACCTATTAATTCAGACATAAGAATCTCAATCTTATAAACCGATCACCACACATTAAGAGAATCACAACACATCAATCAATTAACAAAGCGTCCGGCTTGATTCTTCGTTTCGCTCCTAAACTGCCTCAGAAGTAAATTCTCTTATCATTTTGCATTTAGGTGAGTGTCCTCTCTTTTATTTTCCAAGGGTTTTTTTTTCCTGCTTATCAAAGCTTATGTTCCAAATAGGAAACAACTTTCATATCAGGCTCCAGTCCAGTCTGCTGCATGCTATGAAATGCTAGAATGCCTTAACATTTTAGTGAGATGTACAGCTAGACATACAGAAAACATAGCTGGAGCACACACTAAAATGTTAATAGGTGGCATTTTATAAATTTATGAATTACGCACTTTAAAAATTAATTTACACTTTGTATAAAATTTCAATACAGGATCTCCCACTAATCTGGGAGAACCGGGTTTGAGCGCCCACTCCTCCACTTGCACCTGCTGATGTGACCCTGGGTCAGTCACAAGCTCTGACACAGCTGTCCTTGAAGAAGAGCCCTTTGGGTCAGAGCTCTCTCAGCCCCACCCACCTCACAGGGTGTCTGTTGTGGGGAGGGGAAGGAGTTTGTAAGCTGCTCTGAGACTCCAAGTGAAGGGCGGGGTATGAATCCAATCTCTTCTTCATCTTCTATAACTCAGAATTCCAAATATGCCCCTGCCCACAAGCTCAAAAAGGTTTGTACGGATCAAGCCCTTGAGATCTTATCGAATCTTACAGAGAGAGGAAAAGGAAGAGGAGGAGGAAGAAGAGGAAGAGGAAGGAGAAGGGGAGATTGGATGTATACCCCGCCCTTCACTTGGAGTCTCAGAGCGGATTACAATCTCCTTTCCCTTCCCCTCCCCACAACAGACACCCTGTGA